TCCAATATCATACTGAATGGGCAAAAACTGGAAACATTCCCTTTGAAAACTGGCACTAGACAAGGGTGCCCTCTCTCACCATTCCTATTCATCAAAGTATTGTAATTTCTAACCAGAGCAATGAGGCAAGCGCAAAAGAAATAAAGAGTATTCAGTTAGGAAAAGAGGAAGGCAAATTGTCTCTATTTGCAGACGACATGATTGTATATTTAGAAGACCCCGTTTTCTCAGCCCAAAATCTCCTTAAGATGATAAGTAACTTCAGCAAAGTCTCAGGATACAAAATTAATGTGCAAAAATCACAAGCATTCCTATCTACCAATAATAGACAAACAGAGAGCCAAATCATGAGTGAACTCCCATTCACAATTATTACAAAGAGAATAAAATACCTGGGAATACAACTTAACAAAGGATGTGAAGGACCTCTTCAAGGAGAACTACAAACCACTCCTTAAGGAAATAAGAGAGGACACAAACAGATGGAAAAACATTCCATGCTCATAGTTAGGAAGAATTAATATTGTGAAGATGGCCATACTGCCCAAAGTAATTTACAAATTCAATGCTATCCCCATTAAGCTACCACTGACCGTCTTCACAGAACTGTACAAAACCACCTTAAACTTCATATGGTACCAAGAAAGAGCCTGTAGAGCCAAGACAATCCTAAGCAAAAAGAACAAAGGTGGAGGCATCATGCTACCTGACTTCAAACTATGCTACAAGGCTACAGTAATCAAAGCAGCATGGTACTGGTACCAAAAGAGAGATATAGACTAATGAAACAGAACAGAGGCCTCAAAGGCAACACCACACATCTACAACCATCTGATCTTTGAACAAACCTGACAAAAGCAGTGGGGAAAAGATTCCTTGTTTATTAAATGGTGTTGGGAAAACTGGCTAGCCATGTGCAGAAAGCTGAAACTGGACCCCTTCCTTACACCTGACACAAAAATTAACTCCAGATGGATTAAAGATTTAAACATAAGACCTAATACCATAACATCCCTAGAAGAAAAGCTGGGTAATACCATTCAGGACATAGGCATAGGCAAGGACTTCATGACTAAAACATCAAAAGCAATGGCAACAAAAGCCAAAATAGACAAAGGGATCTAATTAAACTTAAGAGCTTCTGCACAGCAAAAGAAACTATCATTAGCATGAACTGGCAACTAACAGAATGGGAAAAGATTTTTGGAAGCTACCCATCTGACAAAGGGCTGATATCCTGAATTTACAAAGATCTAAAACAAATATAGAAGAAAAACAATAAACCCAATCAAAAAGTAGGCGAAAGATTTGAACAGACACTTTTCAAAAGAAGACATTTATGTGGCCAATAAACACATGAAAAATGCTCATCATCACTCGTCCTTAGAGAAATGAAAATCAAAACCACATTGAGATACCACCTCATGCCAGTTAGAATGGTGATCATTAAAAAATATGGAGATAACAGATGCTGGAAAGTATGTCGAGAAGCAAGAATGCTTTTACACTGTTGGTGGGAGTGTAAATTAGTTCAACCACTGTGGAGGACTGTGATTCTTCAGGGATCTAGAAATAGAAATACCATTTGACCCAGCAATCCCATTACTGGGTATATACCCAAAGGATTATAAATCATTCTGTTATAAAGACACATGCACATGTATGTTCATTGTGGCACTGTTTACAATAGCAAAGACTTGGAACCAATCCAAATGCCCATCAACGATAGACTGGATAAAGCAAATGTGGCACATATACACCATGGAATACTATGCAACCATAAAAAAGGATGAGTTCGTGTCCTTTGTAGGAACATGGATGAAGGAAGAAACCATCATTCTCAGCAAACTGACACAAGAACAGAAAATCAAATACCACACTTTCTCACTCATAAGTGAATGTTGAACAATGAGAATACATGGACACAGGGAGGGAACATAACACACTGGGGTCTGTTGGGGAGTGGGGGCGAAGGAGATTGGGAAGGGATAACATCAGGAGAAATATCTAATGTAGATGATGGGGGGATGAAGGCAGCAAACCACCGTGGCATGTATATGTATACCTATGTAATAATCCTGCAAGATCTACACGTGTACCCCAGAACTTTAAAAAAAAATCACATTGAAAAGTGGGCAAAGGATATGAACAGACAATTCTCAAAAGAAGACATGTATGCAGCCAACAAACATGCAAAAAAGCCTAACATGACTGATTATTAGAGAAATGCAAATCAAAAGTACAATGAGATACTATCTCATGCCAGTCAGAATGGCAGTTACTAAAAAGCCACAAAACAATAGATGCTGGCGAGGCTGTGGAGAAATAGGAACACTTTTACACAGTTGCTCACACACACACACACACACACACACGCATATATATGTGTGTGTGTGTGTGTGTGTGTGTGTGTGTGTGTGTGTGTATAAAACAGATACTGTATCTATATATAACAGAATACTATTCAGCCATAAAAATGAATGAAATAATGGCACTCCCAGCAACCTGGATGGAACTAGAGACCATTATTCTAAGTGAAGTAACTGAGGAACAGAAAACCAAACATCATACGTTCTCACTCATAAGTTAGAGCTAAGCTATAAGGATGCAAAGGCATAAGGAAAGACACAATAGACTTTAAGGACTCAGGGGGAAAGGGTGGGAAGGGAGTAAGGGATAAAAGACTACAAATTGGATTCAGGGTATACTGCTCAGGTGATGGGTGCACCAGAATCTCACTAATCACCACTGAGGAACTCACTCATGTAAGCAAAACTACCTGTTCCCAAAAAAACTATGAAAATAAAAAATGAAACAAAAATAATTCAAAAAAGAGGACAATAAGGAATATGAGAAAGCATTGTTAAATAAATAGCCAAAGAATGAAAATAAGCAGAATAATAAAATATAGTTAAAATGCATAGATTAATTCAGTTTTAGAGAACATGTTCCTGACTAGTAGAGGCAGAGAGCAGTCTTTGTGTTTTGGAGTTGAGGATAAAATGTCCTGTTTATAAGGAGGAGATTGTAGATACTGAACTTCAACTATTTTTGTTAACAATTAAGATTAATCTTAAGAATACAAATAGGATATAGGCTGGACGTGGTGGCTCACACCTATAATCCCAGCACTTTGGGAGGCCAAGGCAAGTGGATCACTTGAGCCCAGGAGTTCAAGACCAGCCTGGCCAACATGGTGAAACCCCGTCTATACTAAAAATACAAAAAATAGCCAGGTGTCGTGCTGCATGTCTGTAATCCCCACTACTTGGGAGGCTGAGGCAGGAGAATCACTGGAACCCAGGAAGCAGAGGTTGCAATGAGCAGAGATCATGCTACTGCACTCCAGCCTGGGCGACAGAGCAAGACTTGGTCTCAAAAAAAAAAAAAAAAAAAAAACACCAAATAGGATATACTAATAACAGGAAACACTTAGACACTGTTTTAAATGCCTGGTTTGAGAAAAATATTCTCAAGGCTTTAGCAAAAACTACAGAAACTATAGAGAAAAGGCAAAAGGGATAGGATAGGGGAGGATGGAGAAGTATGGCTGTGGCTTACATTTTTTGATAATTAATTACTATGTTCCAGGTATCATACTAAATGTATTAAGTGGACTACCTCATTTAATCCTCATAGCCACTACACAAATGAGGAAATTGTGAGTTACAGGAATTCTCCTAACAGACCTTGTGCTATTAATACTAACCTCTGAGCTGCCTCTTTCCTAACTACAGCAAATCCTCATTTATTTTGCTTAAAGTCTCCATTTCCAAGAACCTACTGGTAATGTTTTAGGTGGATGCAAAGGTAATTGCGGTTTAATGGCAAAGTACTTTTGTACCAACCTAATATTATTGGTGACTTTAAGCAAAATAACACCACCAATTTTACCATAGGCTAATTGATATAAATAAGTTGAGTTTATACAGCCTATTTGTGATCACAAAAGAATCAGCAAACTTCTAAAGACCAAAACACTTACAATATTAAACACTGAAATAAATGTGAGCTATACATACATTAACAAAAGACGAATAAAAACAAGATAATTACTTGAACCTGTCCTGGCAGCTCAGGGTACAAGGCAGGAACCAGGCCTGGACAGGATACCATCCCATCACAGGGCACACTCACATACATCCACACTCACTCCAACTGGGACCATTTACACACGCCAGTGCACCTAACGTGCACATCTTTGGCTATGAGACGAAATTGGATTACCCAGAGGAAAACCCACACAGGGACAACATGCTAACTCCACACAGAAGCAGCCCCAGCTGGAAATCATTTTTTTTTTTTTTTTCTTAAAAATGTTATAACAAGACAACGTTGAATGAAGTGACCTTATTCAAGAACCTGCTATACCTTTCTCCTAACTATTCCATTTGGGAGGAAGAGAGTCTCATCATGTTTCCCCAGTAGCAAGGCTAATCCCATAATTACTCTCAGCTTCTCTGCTTTGCTTTCCTCCTGACACCCCTTAGGCTTTTGCTCCTTCTTTGAGGTCCAGGAAGACATAAAATACAGAATAGAGATTGTTCCATGCACAGTATGAGGATGAAGTATGATGCCTTCTGCCTTCACTTTTTTTCATCATATGTGTATGCTCATATTAAAACTCTATAACCTTGTGACAACCAGCTTATTTGCTGTGACAGGAATGAGGTAGATAGAGAATCTATAATTCTGGAACTGGTACACCTAACACCTATCCAGTGTTGATTAAGCCAAAATACAGGTATACTTAATATATTTAGGTATATTTTAGCACTTAGCACTATGTCTCAATACTAAAATGAAAAATAGGCTTCTGGGTTTCCATGTACATTTTTAGTTTCTTCACCTTGAAAGGTAGCATTTCTGTCACTTTGAATATGCCACAAACAGATTATATGCTTCTCAAATATTTTTGTTCATTTTAACAAAATATAAAGGCTATCTTAAAGAAACTAATCTCATACTAAATTAAGAAAAAAATTCCTTATGTTTTGCAGACTTTGAATAATGAGATGAGTACAGATGAAGACAATGAATATGCAGAAGAAAAGGATAGCTACATCTGTGCAGTGTGTCTGGACATTTATTTCAACCCTTATATGTGTTACCCTTGCCACCACATCTTCTGTGAGCCCTGCTTACGGACTCTGGCCAAAGACAATCCTTCAAGCACGCCATGCCCATTGTGTCGGACAATTATTTCTAGAGTCTTTTTCCAGACAGGTAACTATTCTCTTTCATTAACTTAATTGTCTGATTATTCTACCTCTTTGTTATAGTTCTAAAGGTATTTTATAAATTATTAAAACATTATTGAAAATCACATATAGCATAATTTGTTATTCTCCAGATTATAAAACAGTACTTACCCAACTCATAAAACTGTTAGAATCATAGATGAGAATAGATTCTCATCTCAAATTTCTTACGTGACACTCAGATCTTTTCTAAAACACCGTAACTAGTAGTTGTTCCATCTTGGACTTTTCTAGTGTTAAGGAAGTTTCATTTGAAGCAGTGCTGTTGATTGTTAATTCCTCATGTCTGCTTTCCACTACTCCTTATTCTTTGGTTCTTGTTATTTCCTCTGGAGTCACAGAGAATAAATTTATAAATATTTAAGTATAATTATTACATCTTTCCCCCAAACTCCAAATCTTCTCAACCTTCTTAATGTACTTAAGGTCTTTCTCCTTGGACAGGAAAAAAATCAAATTGGAGCAAGGATTTGTCGACCTAATTTTCATGTAAAGATGTAATATAACACAAAATTTAAAACACTAATGAAGAGATAATAACTAGTGGATATGGAACATAGAGAATGAGTAAGGGTAGAATGGTAGAATTCACTACTGTGTGCCAAATGTTAGGTGGGAAATTTTCCATCTTCACATTCTCCTCTCAGCCATAAATGAGCCACATGAGGATCCAAGAATGTACTGAATTAACAGTAAATTCATAGTAAAACTGAAGAGAATATATGGTATATCTTTCTTCCCTCAAGGAAATCCAAGACCCCACCACATGGGAGAATCAGATTATTAAAGCAAGCTTTGACTGTCGTATCCCACCAGCTGCATAAAGGCTTGCAAACCTTTATAGGCTTAGTAATCAAACAAAGAAGAGAAACTAAAACTATGCCTCTCTGTTCTACCTAGTGCATGTAGACTGCAGCACAGAATCACTGCACTGAGCTTAGGCAGATCTAGAGACAAAAGGACTTGTCAAGCACAGCAACTCTACCCAGTTGAGAAATGTGGTCAGGACACCAGGATGTCATCAGTCTCACCAGGCAGTTCATTTACTCTTTTCATAGGGAAGGCCAATTAAAGGATACAGAAAGGAAAGGAAGCACTTCCGTGAGAGGATCTAACCTTACTGGAAGTTCTTCTCTGGCCTCTGGCTGGAATGTTGAGATGTGGGCGAAAAGGTGTTCTTTTCTACTACCAGATCTCTTGCCGGGTCCTTTGGGGTGATGAAAAAGAGGAGCACCAATAACACCACTTTCTCAGTGTTGTCTCTGGCCAGCTTTACAAGCAAACATATACTAAAAACTTGTTTTGATAGGAAGCATCTAGGCAATGTACAGTGTCTAGGCAAATGTTGTCCCTGCCTTCCATGATCTCACTTAACACTGGTAGTGGTTATAAAATTTATTTTCTTCAGGTCTTAAAATGGTAATGAATCAAATCTTTCTTGGTTCAGTTATTAAAACAACAATTTCATATTTTCCTTTATTTTCAAAATCAGTTATTCTAAAATCATATTAGGAATACTTACAGTCTCTTCCAATGTATACTATATTTGGTTGTGTGCTATCATTTAAAGGCTGATAATAATGGGAATATTCTACTTATTTATACTCTACCTCAAAAAGATTTGAGATTTTTTTAAAATACACTTAATGAAGTGCAGGACAAGGGAATTATGAATTGAAATAGATTACAAAAATCAGGTGAGGGTAGGTAGACAGATACATAAGCCTATGATCCTACATAGTATTTTATTTTTAATGGCAAAAACCACAATTACTTTTGCACCAACCTAATATAATTAGATGAAGTATTTGCTTATAAATTTGCTTTTACTGACTGCCTAAAGAAAAATAAAAGTCAGTACACAAAGGATTCTCAGGATCCACGAAAAAAAAGCATACCAGCTTCTCAATAAGCACAGGTTTTTCTGGCAATTATCTTTAAAAATTTCTTTTTTGTTATTTCCCCTCTAGGGAATATTGGGGGAGAGAGAGTAGGCAATGTCCTCAAAAACACCGTCACAGCAAATGCAACGCCAGGTTTGCTGACATTGTAGCTCATGCTATTTTTTGATAAAAACTGAGGCAATATCAGAGTATAAATTAGGGAAAGTAACATTGCTAGTAGCCGAAGAATGTGATTCAGTTTTCTTACAAAAATGACATGAAATTATATAGATAGTACAGTTTCATTATAGGAAAAATTAGAAAATATAAACAAGTAAAACTGTGAGCTCAAAATTAGCCATATTTCTATCATTTAAAAATAGTGAGTATACTTCCAGAATATATTAGAATCTTTTTGTTTTTACCCCCCCCCAAAAAAAATCCGATTATATTGTACATATGGTCTTTAAGCTGTTATGTTTAACTTGAAGTTCTTGTGATTATATTATGGGACATTTAGTTTATTTATTTATATTTATTTACTGATATATGTAGATAAATATTTGAGCACATTACATAGTACTTCCTTGAGATGAATTTCCAGAAGTAGAAATGGTAGTTAAAGCCTACATATTTTTAAGGGCACATATATATTGTAAAATTACACTCAAATTATTGTAACCAGAAGTGTGTGAGGGCTTGTCTCTAGAGTTTTGACTATCCTAATTTTCCTTGTTAAATTTGTGACCAGGAGGATTTTTTATATTTGGTGTCAACTGTTGTCATAGATGGCAAATAACTTTTCCTTTTTGTCATTTGTACTTCAATTAATTTTGTTTATGGTATTTTTTGGATGTGCAGAATTTCTGTATTTATGTAGTGACCATGTAGTGACCTTTGCTATTATTATTTATAATTTCAAAGCTAGTTATGAAAAGGCCTTCCCCACTACCGAATTAAATAAACATTCTCTTTCCCTGCATTTGTTTAAGGTTTCATTTTGTCCTCATGTCCCCACATATAACTGCCGTCCATTTATTCTGGTACATGGTTTGGTAAATAATAAAGTACATTTTTTCAATTCTTTAGGCAAGTGTCCTGGCAACATTTGTTGAACAGTCTACTCTTACTATGTTGATTGTATTTCTTTAAAAAGCAATTTAATAATTTCTAAAGTGTTCTTTGGCAGTCTTTCTTTTCATCTTTATCTTGTCCTATACTATTATTCCACTTTTATAATTATTCGAGCACTTATGTTTTAATTACTCACAAGTGAATTATCTAAATTTGGAGGTAATTGGCATTTTAATTGACATTTTTATAATATTGAGTGATTGTTGTCATGGTATATCACCTCTCAATAAAGTTCCGAAATTTCCTTCCTAAAGACTCTGCACATTTCTTATTAGCTTTATGCCTATATATTTTTGTTGTTGCTATTGTAAATGAGATTTTTTTTCCCTCATTTAGTTTTTGCTTCTTTTGATATTTTAGGAAACTTAGTTTGCCAGTCTTAGACTTTTCTGTTACCAGTCACCTTACTGAACCCTCAGAGTTATTTATTAAATAATTTAATTAGTATGTCAGCTACCTCAATTGTCACCATTCAAATTGTGTATAAACCAGGGACAGTTACTGTCATGGGATCTTTTTAAAGTGGGAAAGCTGTCATTTTCTAAAGGAAATCAAGATGTGTGTACAATAAGGAATTAGTTGTAACAGTTCTATTAACAGTAGCTCAATGAATAGAAATATAATGAAGTTCCTCCCAGATTTACTCCATTCAGTGCTCTTTAGCAGATTAATGACTTTAAAACTGAACTATAACATTAATATCTTGCTTAAATTACTTTACACTGTTAGCTGTTGAGAAGTTGATGTGGGATCGGATGTGTACAGGAAAGGGTAGAAACATTAATATCTTTTTTTTTTCATGGAAGTTAAGGTATACTGTTCAAAGTTGATAAAAAAAATTATTGGTGTTCACTGTTGGTTGCTAATTAGTATGCATAACCTCCTTCTTTCTTCTTAACATAACCCTGAGTATTCAACTATTCCAGCACAGACCAGGTTGCTCTTGGTAGCAGACCCCATTCTCTGCTCCTGGGTAATCTATCCCCTTTGCCAGTAATTGGTTCACAAATGGGCATGTGGTCGTTTTGGTCAAGGAGATGGGGAGAAGGTTTGTCTTTGCTTTTAAGACATGAAATGAAGAAACCATTATCTCTCCCTTTGGACATAAACAAGAAAGTATATAACAGGGATAGTTATAAGGAGCCATCTTATAAGACTTAGTATGAAGTCTTATTTTTGGATTGTAGAACTTAAGACAGACCTGAACATGGGGTCTTGATGACACTGTTGAACCACTGATTCAGCCAAGTTTGAAGCCCATGTTTCCATACATGAAATATTAAATTTGCTAATTAACTAAGTTTAAGTAAACTTTAGGTTAGTTTCAACTAAGAGCAACCTAACTGATAAAAGCATACCAATTATAACCAGTAAACAAACTACAAATTATATAATTCACAAATATTTGATTGATGAGAAGGGAGGAAAGTAGTTTTTAAAACTTGTATCTCCTTAGAAGGAAATTAATAGTAAGATTTATAAATGAATAAATAATTCTGGATTAGTGCTATGAGAAGCTCAGTGGACACTTACCCCAGCAAAAGCAACATTTAGCTGGTGAAAATTATTTTTCTAAAGATTAGAAATTATCCTAAAGACATACAGCAAATGAAGCATTTATTCAAAAACATCTACTAAAATCTGCTATTATAGGTAAGAATGACAGCCTGTAGCATTCCAGATAGGACCAGCTTTCAAACCCGTCATTGCTAGCTCAGTGTGACAAAAGTTGTAATTCAAGTCGGTACTACTAGGAAGATGGATCTCTCTCCATCCATTCTCCCATTCCCTAGTCTAGTGCTACAGTTTCACCCCAGGAGAAGTAGACCACTGATAACACTTATCCTCTCAGCTTCATGTTGCAGAAGCTGTATTCCAGACAAGCACAGCCAAGAGCACTGGAGCTCCCTTCCCCACCTGTCCCCCACCTGTAAGGTGAAGCTCTACT